ATCATTTGTAAATCGAAGGGAGTATTAGTTTTGGGGAATAACAATAGACGTCACCGATCTCAGGTGTGGAAACATTAATAAATTTTCAACCCAAATTCTATTATATGTGTATGCTGCTACCAAAAGCAAAACTACGAATACAAAAATATAGCATATTGGTTGCGGTCGAAAATGATTTGCTTATTACCGAGCAATATTTTTGTTACTTATTATGCCTAACAATACAAAAAATGTGATTCAGAATTTCCAATACCTGCATTAGCTGTTTCAAGAAATGTTAACAGAACAAACCAGAAGGTGCACTCATGCAGTTTAGTTGTGTCAAATAGCTATCGCTAGGAACAATACGTCATATCTGTAATAATTTTTTAAGATAGATATCACAATATCGTCACGCTAATAACCGAATCGCGTAAGTCATTTTTAGCAGTTTTGAGAAAAACGTAAAAAACTTCCTAATGATATTGCTATGCCATTGAGAGTCAATAATTTGCCATAGTTCAATTTTTTGATCGTAGCCGGATTTAAGTTAATTTGTATGACGCAGTCATATGACGTCATAATGGCGCACTGTGACTTAGGCAGAAATGTGGTTATGACTTGGGGACATACGCATTTTTGCAATTTGACTATATGCACCAGTTCTGAAAACCAAACAATCTAAAAACGAATGTAATTCTTAGTATCTACGATGTCTAATCCCCAAAATAGCTTATCTGTTTCAATTACATTATTTTTTATGTTTTAAAATATATATTTCATCACTTTAACACGCTCTGCACACCCATCGAAATAAGACTAAGATTAAATATAAAGAATAAAACAGCAATGTACCCTTATATAGTAGCCAACCAAGGTGAATTAGACGCAGACCGTGAATATCACAAGTGCACGCCTTCCTATACTGTAGTATAAATTCAAATTTATAAGCGCTAAACTAGAATCTGAGATGCAAAAACTCGAAAATCCTTCGCCGAGGTTATTTTGCATTTGTGTCACAATAGTTCTGCGTTAACTATGATAAATCATTATGACGAAACAATTGAACAAATTTGCATGTCATACAAAATCTCCATCTTTATGGGTTTTGAAATTCTTAAAATAAAATCTGAGTTAACCGACAGGTGCGCAGCATTACATAAATACCTATTTTATAAAAAACTCAAAACCGCCAAAAATGACTTACGCAATTCGGTTATTAGCGTGACGATATGTAATTTACTTTTACTATTTACAAGAGAATCGTTTATCAGCATCAAGACGTCCGCAATAAAAGCTCAGAACATCAGATATTTTTTTTTTTCACACACTACGCAACAGATAATAATAAGTCACTGTATATACAATATCGCTGATCTAATTAGATTTACTTCAATAATAAGCAAAATTTCTCATACTCAAAGTTCGAGGCCAGCGTTCCAATATGTTATATAGGTGAAATATAACTAGGTACAAATAAGAAATATGAGTATCCATCAATATTATGATTAATAAAAAGAGTTAAATGTATATGTGATGTCTATATGATGTCTAGGAACAAAACTCTTTGCTGCAAAAAAAAACGAGATGAACCCACTCGTAAACTTGAGTTCGTTGTTGTGTTTTTATGGAAGTTCGTTTACAATAAACCAGACGTGGCACGCACACGACAAGATTAATTTGAATGTTACTTATTCTCATTGATCCCTGTACTAAAGCTTTTATTTTATGGATTGTCTATACCAGGGTGGTCCGTGGTTGGCGAGCCGCAAAAAGTTCTGAGGATGTCTCGCGGGTCGCAGTCGGAAAGAACCTGAACGTGATCGAGAAACATCGCACCTCAGTTTACAAATATTTAGAAATGAGAGTTTACCGTTTTAATCAATTCTTTAAGGAAGATATATAAAGCCGTTGTTGTTTTAAAATTGTTTCACGAGAAATACCGTGGCATTTTCGGTATCTTTTCTCGTGTTTGGTTTTGTAATGCCGCTTAATTAAAACAGTCACTAACTATACATTACCGCTTTAGGCATTGCATATAAGTTTCTTGGCATTAGAAATACATTAAAATTATATTTTTTCGTGACAGATATTACTTGAAAACACACCAGGCACTGTGGTTAAACGTTGTTCTGGGTTAGAAAATGCGTTTCCTCACTGTACCATTGTATGATGAACTGTTTTATATGTCTAAGTTTATTACTGTACGTGCGAGCAATTCCAATCCCATTGCATCACAAAGCCTATACCAGTACCTGAGTGCCACTGTCATATTAGCAAAACTAGCTAGCAAAATCCGGTTGAAAATCACCCAATGTAATAAAAACGTGTTTTTCATTGAATTCGTGTAGGTGTGACAATAAATTTGAATAGCAGTCTTCTTCAGAAATTTGAGGTAAGATCAATACCAAAATAAAACATTTTTTGAGCCTGAAACTATTATAAAGAATATTTTAAATAAAGGTGCGGCCCGTGGCTTCACCAAATTACTCGAATCTGGCCATTCTGCAACAATAAAAGGCTGTTCAACCCTGCGTTAGATCATGGTCTAACTCAGTGTTTCCCAACCCGAGTCCGCGGGGCGTTTGAATGAGTTTCAACGAGCAATGCCGTTTTAGAAACTTAATGCAGCAATAGTATAGTTTATGTAGGTCACTAACCTTTTTAGCCTAGCGGGCCACTATCACATTTAGAAATTCATTGCCGGTCGCCAACGGTTTTATCATATTAATTGTCGCTAATAACGCGTATACGATTGCAGTTTGCTAAAATCACCGATTGTTTTCGCCAGCGTGACATTTTATTTATGCCGTAAACACCTTTAAGTCGGTCTTTATCTCCCTAAGTCAAAAATTTCCCTCAACATAAGTAGTCTATATTATGTCTTGTGACACGACAACGACGATAATTACTTTTTTTGTACTCTCACAGAATTGAAAGTTATCAGGTGGAAGTTATTATATATACATTCGTTGGCGGGCGGGGAGGCGGCAGACAAATAAAGGTAAGAAGTGGTTCCGCGACGCAAATTTTTCGATTAAAAAGCCGCAATATAAAATACTGGAAATAAAACCGAGAACAATATAAGTTTTGTTGTAGGAGGTTCGCGACAGATAATAAACGCTTCTTCGGGCATTGCAAATCGCAAAGTTTCGTGTGCTGAAATCGAAACACAGTCAACTAACTGTTCGCGGGATTTATTGCCGTCAAAAATTTTCGTGTTAACATTATGCAAGGTTAGAAACGCGACATTTTCCCGGATTGTGATGATATATTCTATAAGATAATCAACCCAAAGTATATTCAATCAATTTTGATTTTCCTAAAATAAATTTTACGCCGTGAGATTTTATAGCAGACTTAGGGATTTTTCTAACTTTTATATCTTGAAAATAATCTGAGTGGCAGCATTGCGATAAAGCGGAGTCAGTGTGCAAGTACAGGTCAGATTTGGTGGTCATGGATTGATTACTTCGGCAATGCATCACTATACGCTGAAAAAGTCGGCTCTATTAACAAGTAGCGTAATCGCGGCAACTCTTCCAAAAGCCGTTCCGCGGGGATATTTATATTTGATTTACTAATATACTTTATATGCATTTTTATTGTACTAAATTAAATTGTACTCTGTGGGATTTCAAAACAGATCTTGAGATTTTTCCAACGGCAATAACGAATTCGCAGGATCGCAAAACTACGTATCAAAACTAAATGCAATCAGGCAGTTAATCGATATTTTAATGTCCACAGATTGACGTGATTTGGAGTACTAATTTTATGATTTTGGAGTACTAATGTTATTATTTCGTCGTAAGAAGACGCAACAGCGAGTTACACAAACACAATTAAATTACGGTAATATAACAAGAAAATTTAGATTCTTATCGCTGTCAAGGATTTAATATTTTTCGCGGCGACTGTTCCCAGAAAGGAATGGCAATTTCCGATTTTGCCCTCCCCTCGCTTACAATTAACGCATTTTTGAGTCCGCAGAATTTTACACTAATAAGTAAATAGTCCGCGACCAAAAAAGGTTGGGAAAACGCTGGTCTAACTTCTTCAGACAAAACGAGATATAGCTGCAAACAAGGTTCCGTCGTCACAGCCACAAATGTTTTTTATTCTTAAAATGCTAGTTTGTATAAAGTACTGCCATGATCTCTTTGATCAGTGTCTCACATCCTAAATTGATTTAAAAGGTTTTGCCCGATTTTCTATCTTGTCTTTATTTTATTGTGTTCTTTTGGCTGTTTTGGTGGACGGGCGCGTACTTGTACGTTTTTAGATCTTTCTTGAGTTATGCAGGATATTTAAATGGATATCGGTTTCCAAATTTTGTATATTCGAAAATCTCGTAATTCTCTACTTTGTAATTTTGTTTTTGATAACTGAAAATAAATGACATCCCCCAAAATACATGGAAAGATAGGGATATGATAACGGACAGTGTCGCACGGTGATGGGATGTTTCAAGAGCATGGACTCTCAGTTGTTTCTAGAATCAGAGTAAAAACTAAATCACCTTTCGGTTAATAGGTCTTCTGAGAAGTTTGAATAATTAAAAAATTAATACCGAAAATCTGCCATAGAATAAACTAAAAATTAAATATCCGAAATCGAAACGGTTGTAGACAAACTTATAAGCGCCTGCTTACGAAAACACAAAAAGCAAATCAAAAATTAAGTAGGCTACACAATAGGAGTAATCTCAATGTCTGACGAAAATTGTATAATGCCTGAATTGACTCCTTGATGATTTAACAATGTATTTCTTTTGCTTTTTACCCTCCAAACTTGAAAAAAATGAAGTTCGAATTCAAATGGAACTCAACCTGCAGCGAGCTACACATGACTAGGCTCCAATTTCCTAAGAGAGAAAAAAAAGTTTCTTCCAATTTCCTACGAATCTAGGGCCTTATTTTCGACATATTTGTTTGGTACAGCAAGAGGCCTAAACTTAACATAAGCGCGATCGTTCGTAATTGACATTCATTCCCTGCCAAAACACAATACCAACTCAATTGAGCCTGAAAATCATGCATTTTGTTTGAGTGGAAAGATTTACTATAGGAACAGTATCACAAACGTCTAATTCATGCATACACTGTGTAGATGGCGAGTCTGAAAGGTTGTTCAGGATAATTGTAACAGACTCATCCTCTGGTGTTGACTATGTCATCAATCTTGAGAATACTACGTACAGTCTCAGTGGCCAACTCAATAGCACTGGTGGTCACAAGTAGTGGTTGCACAACACTTTCCTCAACCATGTCGGATATTCCACCACGTCGCACATTGACTCCAGTATTGTGATCTCCTTTCACATGACGATTCCTCAACTCAGTCACAGTGCTTATGGGATTCAAGCCTGCATTTTCTGCTAGTGTGTAAGGAACTACCTCCATAGCATCAGCATATTGCTAAATAGAAATGTAAATTTTTTCATTACCACTATGTAGAGAATAATTTAAACTTTAAAACTGAAGAAAAATACTCACAGTAAAGCAATATGCTTCCATACCACTCAGTGTATGTGCATGCCGAGCCAATCGAATAGCAAGTTCTGTTTCTGGGGCTCCTCCACCTGCAATGGTTGCTCGTTTCTTGACTAGGCATCTGATAACACATAATGCATCATGAATAGATCGCTCTGCTTCGTTTAAAACTAATTTGTTTGATCCACGTAATAATACAGACACAGTCTTCCCCACTGAACTTGCGCCGGAGACCTGGAAATAAAGAGTTCAAAAAAGTTAAGTTTTATTACATAAAAATCATTTGTATAAATTTTTGCAGACCAGACCAACACCGACTCGATCAAAATAGATCACAGACTTTTGTTGTTGGTCATGCCAACTCAAATGCATATACAAAATCACTATAATAAAAACAAGACATGATGAGACCAATCCAATATGCACATTCTAAAGATATTTCAGTTTTTCCAAGGTACAAAAATATCCTAGCGAGTTTGCAATCCAACGAAGATAAAAAATAGATGAAATAAAGAATCACCTTGACAACACGGCCAGATCCCAAACTGCTTTCCTCCACAAGCTCTGCTGCAGCTAACATGTCTGGGGTAAAATGATCGATGCTTGCAATAGGTTTACATCCGATTGTCTTGCAGATAAACTCAATTTCCTCTCGCTCAATATCTCTCACAACTAATATCTTCATCTTGTTCAAGAAATGCAATGCAAGATCACTTAGTGCATCTCGAAGAATTGATTTCTGTATCAACAAGACATTGCATCCAGCTTTCTTGATTTGCTTCACCAAATTCAGAGTGTACTGACGCTCTTCACGAAGAACTCTGTCCATTTGTGTATAGTCAGAAACTATGACTTGGTTTTCCATGTCTGTTTTTGGAGGTGACAAGCAAAATTGTATCAATCCAATTTTAGCTTTTTCAACACGTTGAAGACCAGAGGATCCACTTGCTGTTCGTTGAGTCAAGACGAGACCATCAACCAATACTGTATCTTCAATGGTTCCTCCAAGCTTGGGAATAATCTTAACATCACGCAGATCCACGTTGGTGGCAACACTAGGATCAATGACTTTCAAAATAGAATCTACTGCAAGTGGAGCAAGAAGATTTGAATATTGAGAAACAACTTTGGAATTGAGTGAAGTCGAGGCACTTTTTAGTAGGGTCTCACGATCTGACAATTCAACCTTCTCAGACATTTCTGTTAAGATTTCCACAGATTTCTCCGCACATTTTTGGAAAGCATCAGAAATTATTGTGGCATGAATACCACGATTCAGAAGCTTTGACGCAGCATCGAGCAAACTACCAGCAAGCACAACAACAGATGTTGTTCCATCCCCAGCTTCAATATCCTGTGCTTTTGAAAGCTCCACTAACATTCTAGCAGCAGGATGGAGAACCTTCATCTGCTTCAATATTGTTGCTCCATCATTGGTGATTGTCACATCACCCTTCTCATCTTGGATCATCTTATCCATTCCCTTAGGACCCAAGCTTGTTCGAATTGCATCAGCAACAGCTTTGGCTGCGGTGATATTACTTTCTCTTATTTGGGTTGGTTTTTCTTTATCTTCAAACCTACCAGCCCTCCCAATATGCATGCCTTTCTTTAATTTTGCAGGGGGAACCATCGTAACACAGAAGTTGAAAATTAACTACCTTTATTTATACCATTTTTAATGATTTTGCCAATTTCACAAGAAAAAAAAAGTTTGTTAATTTCAAATTTAGGTACCTAATTCAGTAATTAGACAAACTTCAAAACTTGCAACTGTGCACATAGTTCACTTAATTTTAATATCCCCATGCTGTATGTACATTTTTATACAGTACAGCACACTATACAAATCGGGTGACATTGTCCTGTTTCAGAGAAACCCATTTTACAGATGATCAGACACCCCTCCTTTGGGAGACGTCTGGACTTTGATGTCCCTCAATATCGTTAATAATACAGTATAATGAAGTTGCGCAAAATACTACAAAAAGCGCAATCTAGTAACATCATCATTGAATTCCTTGGGAAAAAAGAATCCGATTTACCTAAGGAGAAAAAATTTTACCGTAGCATTCGACAGATTTTTTTGCAAAAACGGCAATTTTTGTCATGTGACGGCCACGATTAATTTAGATTATTATTGAGACAAGCATGGCGCGATATGAAGCTTCTGACGTGGTCCCAGACGCCCCTCGTTTGTGAGACACAAGGAGTGTTTGTTTTATTGAGCCAAATGGAGGGAAATTCTTGGAATTTGGATAGTGTGCTGTACTGTTATACAGCAATTTAAGAGCATTTAAACTTTCTCTAGGTGATCGCTCCCACCTCAATTAACTTGATAATGGAAGAGTTTAAAAAAAGATTGTAGGCTACAGTCATTTAGATGCTGTATCTAATAATTAATAGTTACCTATACAGCTATATGTCCATCAAATCCTAATGAAAAGCATTGGAAATTTTTGGAATGCAACTAATTAAAGTGTCAAAAATATCAGGTAGGCCTATGGCCACCCAAACATTTGCGATATGATAGGAAAGCCGCGATGACATCACAAACTCATGAACATTGATAATTTTCCTTTTGGGCACAAGCATTGTCTCCAAATATATGTCTGTATGTTGGTAGGCTACCAATGAAAAATTCCCTCAAGTCTTATATCAGTGAGCCCTAGACCAGTGGTCGGCAACCTTTTTTCAGTGACGGACCGGTAAAGCCTGACCAAAATTTTGGCGTACCACCTTTATATAAATTACAGACTACGGTACCGTAACTGGTCTAATGTAATAAATTAGAAAGTTACCGGTATGTTGACAATACATTCAAAAACAAATATGATACTATTCACGTAACGTGTTTCTTACGTTCGTCCTACTTCGATATTTGGTTTTTGTAGCCTAGTTGTCAATTTTGAAAACCTGACCTCAGAAAAAGGTAACAATGCTGTATTAGGGCATTGTACGTTTTTTGTGTCACCTTTCTGCGAACCGGTAGTAACCTTTCCGCGGCTCGGTGGTTGCCGTCCACTACCCTAGACAACATTCCTAAACAGCAAAACTGGTCACCCGCCCATCAATCTCATACGAAGTGGAATTTTAAAGACCACCAATCCAAGCCGACGCTCCCAAGTCCCAACTGTTGAAACAGCCATGCTTCGCCCACCAGCAAAGCGCTACAGCGAACGAACGAGAACGTTCTACAGAAGTTTGCCTGTATGTGACGTCATATTTCTTCTTTTTAAACGCAAAAATACATGGTGATCGCCAGCAAAGTCAATATAATTAGTCACTTTGGTCGCCAGGGCATTTGTCAAATCGTAAATAATTACTAATACAAACAGGTATCCATTTTTACAAAGTTTTAGGCATATGTATATCACACTTATAGATGCCCATAATGTCGTCCATGCACTTCGGGGCAGTGTCTTATTCTATAAGTCCAAGCTCATGTAGCGTTTTGAAGGTTAATCTGTCAGATATTGTTCCAACCTGTTTTTTAAATCATCATTTGTAAATATAAATAGCTGTTTGACAATTTTCTGTTTTTCTAGCGACCACCCTGTAGTATCTACGTTGTTTGCCTCAAAATGTAAAAATATGTCGCGTGTTTAAATATCATCTGAAGTTTGGGCAAAGTAACCTGCCTTGTGACCATAGGATAGGATTTACATATTTATCCCAAAAAAGAGGAAAGCCGATAAGACGGCCTAACCATAGGCAAACCACGGCCTCTCGTCCGGTTACCATCCCACGTCGGGTAAGGGGTTAGTTAGGTATTTGTTTAGGAATTTATTTTCTATAGTGATCTAATAATAATTTATCAATTTAATAAACAACATAATAACAAAATACTCCATAGATTCATTTCGTGTCCAATAATCATATTTATTTTTTTGTCAAACTCCACGCATTGTGTGTCAAAATTTAACTTATGGATGACTTATGGATTTCACTTTTATGAATTAATGAGCCAAGCTTTTCGAAAAGGTGTTTCTGATTTGTACGAGTCAGAAATGCCATCACGTCATCAAAGTAAGCCGAATAGGCTACTGACATTGATGGCCATGTCAATTAGAGACACTTCTTTAAACGAAATACCCCTACTCCCAGGTCGTTGGTTATTGCCGAAGAGAGTGACAGTGGCATGAGCCAGTAGATAGTGCAGGGGTGCGTCTTCACGAATGCGTATACTTGCCAAGTCTGTAGAACATTCAATGATTACGTCTATTCAAATCAAGTAGTTTTGTACAATGAACTTTGTGTATTACAATATTAAACATGTGCATTCAAATATAATGAGTGTTCACGCCATATAGTGTGAAATTGATGAGGAACCTGTCTTTTTTTAACATGATGGAAAATGATGGGTATCAACTTCTGCGAGGTTATTTTCTACCTACTAGATAGTCGAAAGGAAACAATATAAAGGTACTGACAGAGAGTTACAGAATAAATGACTATAAAATGTGAAAAGGCACATACAATATGTCTATCAAATCTTGGGGCAAATTCTAAAAAAGGGGTTTGTAAAAAGTGTTCATATATCACCAATCGTATTAAATATCTATCAGTTTTTCATCAAATGATCACGCTATCTTCCTAAATAGAGCATAAACAAGTTTTGAACCATCTCAATTTAGAAGCGTACGGCGCAACAATTCTGACTTCTTTCTCTCAATCGAATTGGGCATTGAAATCTGAAACGTGAACATTAGTTATAGACTACATACTTGAACATTAGTTATATTTTTATATGAAGATTCATAGTACAGTTAATCCGGAAACTTTCAGAGTCATTATAGGCCTTTCAAAATTTTGAAATCGAACATAAGGTAATAAGGTGCTCCCGAAGTATGCGAACCAAGATGGCGGACATCGGAACGTAACATGGGTAACAGGTTAGGGTTAGGCGATAATTTTTTTCCAATTTTCCTTATTTTAGTCCTATTATCAGTTCGAAGACTAGCTGAGAGCCTCCCGTAGTATTTATACCTAAAATTATGGCCTAACCCTAACCTAGTACACATATTACATTCCGATGTCCGCCATCTTGGTTCGCATACTTCGGGAGCCCCGGTAATAATATCATGAAGCGGTTCCATTACATTTGAACCCGCGTACATTTGAACCCATGACAATTGCACCTGTATGCTATTGCACCTGTGGAATTTTTTTTGTTTCACGGATAGTTAAACCCATACTAACCCTAACCCATGGGTTTTAGCACCCGCATATAGATTGAACCCGTGGATATACGCATGGGTTCAAATGTACATGGGTTCAAATGTACGGTCACCTCATGAAGCATTCACAAGAGTTTTTATTCTTAATAACTTTGTGTAACTTTCAAAAAGAGTTGTCGCACTGTAAATCCACAGCTATATAAGGCTTATAAATAACAGTTGATGATAACACGTATTACCTCTTTAGGCTTGCACGTAATTGACAAAAATCAATTCCGTAATTACGGCCAAATCGATTACGTAATGACCCCGTAATTGCGATATTTTTTCACACATTTTAACCTATCATAACAACCAATTGAATCCACTTCATTTTCGATTGGGACATCGAGTTTGGGTTTTCATATTCCTGGCAGTACTACACGCCGGCGACAGATGTTAAGACGAGTGAATTCAAATTAATTTTATTCTGATTTTTATCTTTTGTGCTAGCTTTGATTTCCTTTATCACCTTCGCAAATTAACCGTCTAAATTTTATGTGATCAATTTTATCATCACCGACACTGGTATACGGATATTAATGAAACGATAGTTGACTTTTTTAAAATCGTATTAAAAAAATGTCGGGTTTCCAATTTATCAATGCCACGACGAGCGTATTCTCTCGTTTGATTATACTTGCGCTTGCCTCGCGAAGAAGACTTGTTATTGCACCGTTTTTAACATTATTCGATCTTACTACCTAGTCAGCATTTTATAATAATTATTGATGCCGACTTATTGACGTTATTCCGATTACTATGCTTCATTTTGCTTTAAATCATTTCGCGGCCTAAATGTCAAGTGCAGTTTTAAGTATTCTATGGCGTCTGCAGCTACCGCAAAACCATGGCGGTATTTCCATACCATGGCCGCTACGGCCAAACCTATGGCGACTGACTTTTTAGCTGCCACAAACCAATGTCGAGCTGCCGCTACCGCGGCAGTAATTTGAAAACCAATGGCAGGTAAAATTTTGCTGCCGTAACCGCGGCAGGTGGGCCGTAAGGACAGGGCTGTCCCTTATGGTGACAAATATTGGGTAAGTTGGAACGTTTTTCTTATGGATACAGTCTTGATGGATTTGGGGTTAGGGTTAGGGTTTAAGTAGATATAATTCCGCATGATCAATTAGAATTTGGTACATTAGTTTGTGAATATACCGTTAATACTGATTACTGAATACAGAATAGCGCTATAAAACCATGGCAAGAGCTGCCACGGTTCGTTCGTGGCAGGAGCTGCCATGAAGTGGTAAGAACTGCGCCTCCTAAATGTTGTAACATTATTTGCGCATAATTTAAATACCGTACTTATATGATATGGCTTTTCCGAAAATACAAAGTTATATCGCAAAAAAATGCATATTGTGACATTTATTTTGCACTCACGAAAAAATTAACTTATTTTTCTAACTCAAGTCGACGATCCTATCGGCCAAGATTGACACAAATTTGGTCGAGT